TATATATTTATAATAGTAGTTTTTTTATACTTATCAATAGTATATTATATATTAAATCATATGTAATTACTTATTCACATTTTCAGATTAAAAAAGTATATAGGAGAAAATCCTTAACTTGCCATCCGGATAAAAATCCGCATAAGCGGGAAGCAGCAGCGGAATTCTATAAGCTATCAGAAGCAATTAAATTTTTATCTGATGAAAAAGCTAGAGTGAGTAACATTTCTTTAAAATTTATTACGAGAGTTTCGAAAGTCAATCTCCAGTACACTTGCAAAAGAAAACAAGGAAGAGGAAAAATATTTTATTATGTATAAAAAAGTTATTTATACATATATTTATATGCACTACTTTTCTCGACATAATCGCCATTTGAAGTGAGATACTTGTGATAGTGTGGCGTAAGTTTTTGTATGCTCTCATCAAAATATGGTGGCCCCAAATTGAAATCGTAGCACTACTCATTAATTCCTCAGTGCCTTCGAATCGCTATGTTCTTAGCCCTACTTTTATATGTGTGCAAAAAATCTGTTGAAAAACCACCATCAGAACTTCTGCAATGCAATGGGAGTTTGATCATTTATCCTACAGTCTTGCACTGAGTGACTTTAATCTATTCACATGCATGAAAATGTAGCTATGAATGCAGCGTTTTGAAGGCAATGAAGAATTGACGAGCAGTGCTAGGAGTTGGCTGAGATTCTAGTTTGGTGGTAATGTACTTTTATGAGGGTAAAAGCTTTTGCCACGTTACGACAAGTGTCTTAATTCGAATGACGAGAAAGTGTATATGTAGAAGTAACTTTTGTGTATAGTAAAATATTTTTCCTGTTTTTTACTTCTGTTCTTAGACTTCCAGAAAGTTTCATATCTAATCTAATTTATTAAAATGTTTTGTTATTAAACAAGGCAGCATATGATGAAAAAATTGCTATAAAGAGACGGGCTAAAGAACATAGTAGACAACTTGATGCAAAAAGGAGAAAATTCAAACAAGATTTGGAGGCACGCGAAGCATTTTATAAGCGAACAAAATCAGACGAGGAACATATTAAAGTATGCAATCAATTTCTTTTTAAAATTATTATAATATTTTTTAGGTTATTAGTACTCCATAGAGATCTGTAAAATATATAATTATAAATCAAGGATGTTTCCACCAAGGATGTTTCCACCATACATCCATTTTGCGAAATGAACGATTTGCCGATTACGTTCGCAC